GGTGGGAGGGGAGAAGGGAGGGCCTCCGCTGCTACAGTGAGCACTTTGGGACGGGCTTCTCCGAGCCCTCTTTCCGAAGATGAGCTGTGGAAACGGGTGGTTCTTGGCGTCATTCTGGGTTGACGTGGCTCAGGGCTGCCCCGCAGCGAAGGGCGTGGGCCTACTTGAGGATGCCACAGTCTTACCCGGGCCCAGATGATGGGCAGAGGTCATCCTCAGGGTTGCAGTGCGGCGCTTGGCCTCTCCGTAGCAGACTGACGCCGGCTCGTCGAGTGGAGCACAAATGTGCTCAGCGTGGCTGTGACTGTCAGTGGTCACCCAGAGCTGGCCTTCCTCTGTGACCCCGCCTGGGATTCTCCCGGACTGCAGGAGAGAAGCGTTAGCACCTTGCCAACTAGCGGAGGTTCTACAAACATTCACCTTCAGGTTTCCAAGTTGGAGATTCCATTCCAAGTCAGTACGTCTGAAGTGTGGCCCAAGCGTCTGTTTTTGATGAAGCGGGTGATTCTGAGGAGCAGTCAGGCTTGAGCACCCAACTTCTGCAGAGATTGTGAGCAGTCAGTCATGTGCCGCCGCACAGTTGAGCTTCCAACATAATACTGCTGCAAGCCTCACCTGACGGTCTGTAGACTTAACATTATTTCAGTGACGGCTCTGTTCACTCTGATGGCACTAGCTGGTGTGTGTGTGTGTGTGTGTGTGTGTGTGTTGGGGGAGGTCTAGGGGGGCTACAGCAGGGGCACTGCCTAACTCCCAGGATTGAGGAGATGTGGATTCTTTCCTGTAGGAGTCTGGTTTTCTCAGGAGGTAGAAGATGAAGCGATCAATAGTATCCTTCAGTTCATGGACTCCCCAGTGGCACTGATGGTCAAGTGCTTCACGGCTCGCCCAAAGGTTGACAGTTGACATTCATCTAGAGGAGGCTTAGAGGGAAGGCCTTGTGATCTGCTTCCAAAAGGCCACAGCGCTGAGAGCCAGGCAACCCTCCCACCCCCCACTGGCGCAGTTTGACTCTGACATACTTGGGGTTGCAACAAGGTGGAATTGGCTCACGATGACCACGGGGTTGGATTTGGGGTCTGGCTCTTTAAATACAAAGATTCTTCCGAATTAGTCCTTCTGCCCCAGAGCCCGGGCTTTTTCACCAGGATACTGCCGGTCTTGCGACCTGACTGATCTCCAACGTGGCCTGTGCAGCAGTAGAATTTGGGCCAGAGCCTGAGCTACACAAGAGCCTAGCTCTCCTGACACCTCGCTGATCTATTTTCTGCACAATCACAGAAAACGGAGCTTGGGCCCTCCCGGATCCCCTGTAACACCAGATTTTATCACTGCTATGGTGGAAGGTAGTAAAATGGGTTTGGCCTGGGCGCTGGCCAATTGACCGGCATTAACCCTTTGTGCTGTTGAGTGGTGGGGAAGTTCTTGGGGGGTGGGGGGGTCAGCAGTAGCTGTTTACCAACCTGTGCGGTAGGTGGGAATATTTTAGCCTTCTTGTCTGTGTACACGGACTCTCGTTCTCTTGGCTTCAGCTCCAGGCATGAAAAGAAAGTGGCCTGGAGTGTCCCAGGCTTCAAAGGCCCAAGCAGCTCTCTGCGATCACCAATCTCCGTGTGGCTGTGTAAAAACTCCAAACAAACAGGCAGAAAGACAACTCGGAGGTTTTGCCATGAAATAGTGGGTTGTGTTTCCTTGTGTGTTGCCAGGACTCTAGTGATGAAGGGGCACCGGGGGCGGGGCGGGGGTGAGGGGGGTTGGCATCTCCCCTCCTCAAGCACAGACAGGCCTCCTTTTAATGAGGAGTTGGCAGGTGATCCTCACCCTCCCGGAAAAGGAGTCCGAGCAGGTGGCTGGGTGGGAGGGAGCTGACATTGGGAAGCGTGCCCTGGGAAAGGGTTCATGTGTTGATCACAACAGCTTCTCCTCTCTATGAAAACAGAACCAAGAGCCTTACAATTGATACTTGATAGCTGCCATCAAGTTGGCTCTGCCTCATGGCCACCCTCCTGGGTACCAGAGCCAAACATTGCCCCGCCCTGGGCCACCGTCTTCACGGCCATGGGTCTACTCTCGTGCCAATTGCAGGCCATTGTGTATCCTGTGTGCCTTCCGACCCAGGCCCCCCCCCCCCAACATTGTATGTGCAGGATTCTTTGATGGTCTGGAGGGTTTCACCCGCTAATTCTCAGAGGGAGATGGCTAGGCATGCCTTCCTGGTTTGTCTTCTTCACCCCGCGCCTGGCATATTGCTGGGAACTGTAGCTTTGCCACCTGGAGCCCAAACCCCAGGAGGGTCACTCATGGTGCACCGGTTTCAGCAAAGCACCCAGACAAGGCAGACTAACCAGGACTGCACGCAGGGGCAGACTTCCAATTTGGTAGGATTTGGCTGTGTTTTCCTTAGAACTACCCCCACACTTAAGTATTGTTTTTGACGGTGCCCTGGGGGTGTACTGGTCCTGTGTCAGCCTGCTAACTGCGGGGTTGGCACTTTGAAACTACTCCCTGCTCCACAGGAGGAAGAGGAGAGGAGGCTTTCTACTCCTGTAAAGAGGTACAGTCACGGAAAGCCGCAGGGTCAGCAAGGAGCCCTGATGGCAGAGTGGTTACGAGTCGGGCTGCCATCTGGGAGGTCGCAGTTGGAAACCACCAGTCACGTCTCGGGAGAAAGATGGGGCTTTCTACTCCCGGAAACAGTCGGTGTCTCAGAAACTCGCAAGACTCAAAGTGTAAGGACTATAGTGGGGGTTGTTGATTTAGAAGTCCTTAGCCATTACCCTGTCCTATAGGGTCGCCATGAGACAGTCTTCACTGGATGACGGTGATTTTATTGTATTGTTTTGGGGCTGGGGGGAGGAGCTTAGAGATGTTTGGGCATAGATATGGGTTGGAGTTGAAAGACAGACAGCACGCTTACTGAACACCAGGAAAGAGGTCAGGGAGGCAGAGTCGAGCCTGGCCAGGTGCTGAATCTGAGGACACCTG